AAGGTGAGGGACGAAGCTGCCACCTCGGCCGGTGCGCGGCCCCGAATCCTCTTTCCTGAAGTGTGGTGCGGTGGTCAGGGCACGCAACGGCCTTCAAGGACCAGCCTCTGCGAGGGAGAACGGCCCACTTCTGATGGACTCTGATGTTTTTGAGGCCAGGCCGGGCTGTAGAATTTTAAGTCCTGGGAGATGCACTAATGATAACAGCTGATGACCCCGCTTCGAAGGTCGAGTTAAGTATTCCGGTGTGAGCATCCAACAGGATCAGCGGGGATGCAGCCCCGCCTTGGAAATGCTCAGGCGGACAGTGGAGGTGGCCACTGTTAGCACCGGAACCCTCAGGCCCACCCTGGAAGCGACAGAAGATGCGGTGACACGAAACAAACACAAGCTTCTCCTAGGTCACAAGACGAGGCAGGCACAGATCAGCAGCCCATCTCTGACTCAACGACTTCCCCTACGGAGTGAATCCGGACAGCTCAAAGACAGCCTGAGCACCCATAAACCAACTGTCCACGGCACAACAAGCTAACAGGAGCTAGGTCGCCCTGGCCCCATGCCACGTCTCCCTCCCGACTTCTGTGAAAAGCTCCCCACTAAATTCTAAAGCCCTCGCCGACTCAACTGAGAACACCGGAGATCCTCCCCTCTGTGAGACACTGGCAGCCTGCCTCGAATAGTAAACAAATTGTTGACGTGAACACTGCCCCTCGCGGCCCCTCAAACTCAGGCCTTTCCCTTCTTCCGGCCCTGACAGCTCCCCAGACAACTCTAAGTAAGAGAAAGAAGGCTCCAGATTTCCCCTTCCCTCCAGGGAGTGAGGCACTGTTCTCTTTCAGGCTGATGGTTGGTGCCTCTCTCTCTCCCACAGTGCGTTTTCTCCCAGAAAGTACCCCACTCACGCACGCAGCAGAGAGCTCGGCAGGCTTGTCGCATCATTTTCCAGACATGTTTAGACACGATGGGCCCCTACATGTGGAGTCAGCTTGGGAACCCAGGACAGAATGAGATAATAAATAGAAAGTGTCTACCGCAGCCTCCACTCAGCAAACGCTGGCGTGTGTTCATTACTAGTTAGTTATTCACTAAATATATATATTTTTTTAATTGAAGAGTTTCTTTTGCCAGAAGAGCCCACTGTAGCCCAGGCACTCGAGTGGGCCCTAGGGGAAAGATTAGGATTTTTGCCTTTAGAAAGTTTAGAATTCAGAGGGGAGACAAGACACTCAGGCCAACACAGCGCAGAGTTAAATCTGATATATGCTAATGGCAAATAGGGACGAAGCGCGTGAAAAGCACTGAGGAGAGGAGGCTCCTTCTGTCTGGTGAGGTGCAGCAGGCACCACAAGGCGGGGCCTGAAGAATGGGGAGAACGTAGGCCCCCCAGGAAGGCGGCGATGTCATTCCAGAGGAAGGAAAGCCGGGGGCAGAACAGGGCACGCCGCACGGGGGAACGACCGGCTGGAGAGAGATGTGAGCGGGGGAAGGCGAGATACAGATGGAAATGGAGACGGGGACCCATCTGCGGTTCCCGGGAAGTGAAAGACGACCAGCGGCGGCTGGAGCAGCAGTCGAAGTGACCAAAAGCACTCGGACGGCGTGACGGCCATGAGGGAACAGGGGGCAGCCGATGCCAACCGAGGACGGCAGAGCTGTGCCAGCACGGTGGGCGTGTGGGGAGGGAGGGGGCCGGGGACAGCCGTCGTTCCGGGGATGGGAGCTGGCGCGAGGCCGGGGACGGGCGGGGACATGGCTCCACACGCCCCCCCTCTCTAGAAGGTGTGTGCTGTGCGCGGCGGCCATAAATCTCGCCCTGAGTACAAGCTGGAAGCAGGGCTCTGTTGCAGGACAGCTGCACCACTAATTTTAGGTCTGTGCTGGAGAAGTAGGGCAGCTCTAATCCCCAGGGCAGGGAGGAGACGCAGCGACACAATACTGGGCATCTGTCCCTACAAAGCCATCCCCGAATAACGCTCCCATAGCTCGCGAGCTCTTGGAGGGTAATGCTCAGGAGGGTAATGCTCAGGAGGGTGACACTCGGGAGTATCTGACGTGGTACTCCATCCCTCCCGCACCCCGGGAAGACCCCTCAGGCCCACAGAACTGGTCGGGGTGCGCGCTGGTCGTTACTTGGGGGACGGAGCTCATGGGAGAAAGTGAGCACTGGCGGAAACTCGCCATCTGCACGTTCTCCTCCAGCTCCGCTGCCTGATCTGAAGCGGGCGGCCACGCACCCAAAGCGTTTGTACCGATAACGGTTAACGACGTAATGGCACCAAAG